TCAGAGAAGAGCCTCAGCATCCCGGCGGACCCATGCTTGAGCTTGTTCAGCAAAGCCGCCGCCTTGACCTTCCTCGACTGCTTGCAAGCATTCGTAACGAGCATGCGGTGAGACTTGCGGTAGGTGGAGTAACCAATGTCCTTCTTGTTCGTTCGGCAGACCGTCGACTTGTCACAGCCCATGTCAGCGGCAATCTTGGCGTAGCTCTGGCTTCCATCATTGTCGACTGACTCCTTGACGGCGGCGACGAACTCGTCGGTCCTAACGGCCGAAGAACGAACGTTGTGGGCCTTTCGTTTGGCAGTAAACCGTTCTTGTTCTCACACGCCTTCTACTTCCTCTTGAACCCAAACCAGGCCATCACTTCTGCAGGCTTCTTCCCGACGCGAAAACAAGCTACTACCGCTGTTCAGCGCTCATATTCCATCCTGGAAAAGGGTAGAGAGAAAAACGTTAGTTAGTTGTCAAAATGTTGTGTATCTGCAGAGACAAATTTTGTTTTTATTGCCTATTTCGTTTTCCTTTTGTCAAGTGTCGGATTTTGCTGCAACACCATGTAGAAAACAGGGCCAATACAAAATATAGAATAAAGCAATACTCATACGCTAAATAATTAGAATATATATAAATATAAAAGTGGACATTGAAATCGGCACCCACAGGCGACAGTCAGTTTCAGGTTTAAACGTAATCTTTTGGCCTGACGATTCCGTTCAAGCATGAAAAGACCATCGCGTCTTGGTCTTGACTTCAGTAACGACTTTATATATATATATATATATATATATATATATATATATATATATATATATATATATATATATACACACACACTCTGTCCGTGATATTGAGCGCTTTAACCAATAAATATAGCATACATTAAAACTATATTTTATCATTATATATACACACAAATGCACACATACGCACACACATATATATATATATATATCATTTATAATAATTCATCGAGTCAACAAGAATCCTCAACAGAATGCAGAAATCACTGGACGGCCATTTCGTCCTATTTGGGACTCATCAACAGTGCGCATCCACTACCGAGAATCGAATCCGGACCCTTACCATACAACACAAGCGTCATACCGTTGTACCAAGCGGCATCGATGACAATGAAGAATTTGACTACACTCGATATAACGCCGCTACTCACTAAATTTTGTGGTGATAGGCTTGTGCCCCAAGACCCAGATCTTTTTTCCACAAGCCGCTCCCTCCAGATCATAAGAAGCTGGGTCAAGCAAGGATATACAAGTGATAGAAATTTTGGGAGATTATAATAATCATATATAGTAATCCATCTAGTAATTCACACACACACACACACACACACACACACACACACACACACACACACACACACACACACATATATATATATATATATAATTTATTCGAAAATTATAACATAAATATGTTATAACATATTTATGCGATAATTTTCGAATATATTATATTTGCTCTACTCTGTATTGAGCACTCTTTTAAGAATAGTATTTTTGGGTTATTGGAATTTATTCCGTATACAGCAATCCTCTACTTGAATATATATATATATATATATATATATATATATATATATATATGTGTGTGTGTGTGTGTGTGTATATATATATGTATATATATATGTGTGTGTAAATATATATATATATATATATATATATATATATATATATATATAAGCATGCTTTTGGCACAGATCATATGTACTGATATAGAATGAATCACAATTGTTCTCTGTTAGGCGCAAGCATCAACCCAACCAACAACAAGAATATATATCCAGCCACTTATAAAGCTCATTAATATGAAAGCCTAAGCGTCGATACTAACGTTCATTTTTGGTGAAATGCATTAAAATTCTTCATTCCATTCAACCTGAAAAGATTAATCTTTCAGAAAGCGAAATTAATCTTGAACCACATGTTCAACTTGAACAAATTCTTTAACTTACTCTATCGAATGCATGTTTAATCAACATGAAACATTACAGAAATTATGTAAGGATTCATTAAAATGGACATAAAGAAAACAATATAGAAAATGCGATAGAATATATAGAAATGCTTAAGTAATAAATACATATGACGTAGGTACGATGTAATAATTAGCAATACGATTATAACTATTAATATTTAAAGAGTAGCTTCTTAATAATAATACTGATATTGTGCGAGGATTTTCGATTATCTGCAGCCGAGAACGAGCAAGTTAAGCTCACGCTGGATATATTACCATCTTAATTGACAAGCACTTAGAGAGAAATCGCTCTGTGTGCACAAGATCAGTCATGAATAGATCCTTATTAGACGTGATGGCGGTGTAGTTGAAAATACAGATATGCCAATACTTGTTAAGGCAAATTAGAGAAAAAGCTTAACCTGTTCATTTTGTGGTTGGGTTTATATATGGTGATCTTCGCAGGACGCCTTGTCATCATGGTTGTGCGTAGGTAGCAACACTGCTTGGAATAGCTCATCCACTGAGTAAAGTGCTGTATCTAAAAGCAGTGTGTAGAAGCTGAGATAAGTTCATCATCAATCGGTAGAAACAACTAAGTGTTGCATATAATGCCAAATATAAATAATTATCAACCTGTATTTATTTATATATTTCCTGTCCCATCTGTAGTAGGAAAAGATAAAGTAATTCCCATTAGTAGTTTTAATAATCTATACAAATAAAATATTTATCTGATTAAGACAATATTAATTCCCGAGCAAAATGAACCGTTTAATTAATCAGTTCATTTACTCTTACGTTTCTTAGATTACAGACTTATTTGTTCAAGCCTTTTATGTGGGGCACTCAGATACCTTTATTTATTGAGTGATCCTCGTGCTTCAACTTGATCTTGAAATAGGCTTTGTCGTCGTCGTTTTGGTGCTAATCTTTTTCTCTTTCGTGATATTTCTATTTTAATGTTATATTAAACGAATAAAATTTTTAACATGTAAATATATCGTTCCCAAATCAATCTCTATAATACCAGGAGTAAACAATGAATCATAGATTCCATTGAAAGTTTAAAAATATATAGATAACAGATTAATTAGATAGGTTTGCTTATCGTCCGATTCCCCGGTCTTTTAAACAGGAGAAGAGGTTTATCTCTTGTTTCCTGTTCGGGATTGGGTTTCCAGTTCCTTTTAGAGTCTTCTCATTCTCTTTCACTACCCGTAACCCCTTGTGTCTTAGTGGAACTATTGCCTTGCTTGGGGTGAATTGATGTTAACAAATAAATGATTCATTGGACTCTATTTTAGTTGTGAATGCTTTACCTCCGTTTTATTTAGCCTTGATAAATTGTTTGAAGATTTTTGTTTCACTGCATCTCACTATTAAAACTTTCTAACAATTGCCTTCATGTTTGACGGCACGAGTACATTAATAATAATAAGAGAGGCCCACCCCTTTTTATACAAATGGACTCAGCTAGTGTTTACTGCTGCCAGTGAATACCCGAGGAGTCGAGTCCTGAGTGACAGATTAAAAGGTTGTAGGTAACCGGAAGAGTGGGGGTGAGGTAACAGCGTTTTAGGAGGCACAGTGAGCGAGCACGTAGACTCAGTAAGAAGTCATACAGCGAAACTTCACTACCAAAGACTGTATATATATATATTTTGCAACTAACCTGCATTCCTGGAACTACTAACCTGCTTTACCAGTTTGTATTATTACGTTAATACATTATTTTCATATATTAATTCCTGGCGTTTGTTATTTATTGGTACCGGATTTCAACCCGGAATCCACAACAATAATAATAATAATAATTGCTTTGATGCTATACAAGGAATTTCCCTCATGTTTCTGATTTGTCTATATTTCTGAGATGAGGTATTATGTACATTATTTACATTATTCGGGCTATTGTCCTCATCTTTGTTGCCATATTTATTACAACGTTTCGGCCTTTCATTATCCTTCTATATTTCTGAGATGAGGTATTATGTACACTATTTACATTATTAGGACTATTGTCCCCATCTTTGTTGCCATATTTATTACAACGTTTCGGCCCTTCAGTATCTGTCTATACTTCTGAGATGAGGTATTATGTACATTATTTACGTTATTCGGACTATTGTCCTCATTTTGTCGCCATATTTATCTCAACGTTTCGACCGTTGTACGCTCCGGCCTTCTTCAGGTGGTTGGAATGTCGAACTGAACCCTTTATTTCGCTCACTGGGGTAGACTGTTCTAGTTCCACATGCCATGTTTAATGGATTTCAGTTATCAGTTATCTCCTGTTAATTCCACTCTCCAAGTTCTCCACTACCTTAACCGAGTATTGAACTCACACTCTTTGGGTTCTTGAGGACATGGCACGTGGAACTAGAACAGTCTACCCTAGTGTGCGAAACATATATTCATAAGTTCACAGTGTCACGCTCGAACCTCGGTGTCGGTAGTTACTCATTTTCAGCCTATATAATAATAATAATAATAATAATAATAATAATAATAATAATAATAACGATGATGACAAGAAGAAGAAGAAGAAGAAGAAGAAGAAGATACGATTTAAGGCACTGAAAATCAAGATGCTCGGGGTAATTTTAGCAGGAAATTATTTGTGAAGGAATTCTGGAGACAAGATAAAAAAAAAAACAAATAATATTTGCGTGTTCTCATCTTGGCAAATAAAATCCAAGGAAATGAAGATCTCTCCGATTTGTAGCGTGATCTTTTGAGGCGTTACTTGAGACTCCAGACATCTGAAGGCAGAAAAATCGTATTAAATTCAAATGTGCCTACAACATGGCCGCCATTATCGAAATCATTAGTGTTTCACGATGATTTTCTGCATCATCGTTGTTCAGATAAAAGGTGGAGGCTGCAAAGCTTCCGTGCTGTTAAAACATATGCAGAAGAGAATAACGAACGGAAAGGAAAGGAAAGAAATTAAAAAAAAAAGGCAATAAAATATAATCGCATCAGAGAAAAAGAAAGATGCAGAAGACAAGTAAGTTTCTTTAACGGGAGAATGAAAACATAAAGGAACTGGAATATATTAAGAGAATGAAAGAGATGGATGGATAGGAACGGAGGTAGAGCGAGATAGGAGAGGGGCAGGAGAGTAAGAAAAGAAAAGAGAAAGAAAAAGGAAAAGAAGATAAAGAGAGAAAGAAAGAAAAATAAAAGAGAAAGAAAGGAAAAGAGAAGAGAAAGAAAGAAAAAGAAAAGTGTAAGAAAGGCGGAAGGAAGGAGAGAAAAAGAATGATAGCTTTCATCATTTCTAAGATAAAGGTGAAAGAAAGAAGAATAAAGAGAAAGAAAGGAGAAAGAAAGGAGGAAAGAGAAAGAAAGGAGAAAGAAAGAAAAAAGAAAGAAGAAATAATAAAGAAAGAAAGAGAAAGAAAAGGAAAGAATTGAGAAAGAAAACGACAGTAAATGAGAAAACAAAAGAAGAAATGTATGCAAGAAGAGATGAAAAGGTTATGTAAAAGCAGAAGGAAAGAAAGAAAGAAAAAAGGAAAGAAAGAAATAGAGGGAAAAAAGAATAGGTATGAGGAAAGAGATATGAAGAAAAGAAGCAAGAAGAAAGGAAGAATGAGGAGAATGAAAGAAAATGAAAATAAATCTAGAAAATGGAAAAAGCCAAAAGAAAGAAAAAAATACGAAGACGAGACACAAAATGAAAGAAAGAAAGAAAGAAAGAAAGAAAGCGTGACGAGAAGGTGAGAGTAGGGAAAGAAAAGGAAAAAAGTGAGGCAGAACATAAGGAAGAAGGGGAGAAAAACGATAAAATGGCAACAAAGAGAAGGAAAAGGAGATAGAAAAAAGAAAGCAAGAAGTTGAGGCACATAAATTACGACAGAGAGCAAAAGTATAAAGACAAATCAAAGACCGACCACCAGAATAATATCTCCCCCCTCTCTCTCTCTCTCTCTATCTATCTATCTATCTATCTATCTATCTATTTTCGTCTCTCCATTATCTATCTATCTATCTATCTATCTATCTATATATATATATATATATCCCAATCTCTGGAGATCTATCTATCTATCTATCTATCTATCTATCTATCTATCTATCTATCTATCTATCTATCTATCTATCTATCTCAATCTCTGGAGATCTATCTATCTATCTATCTATCTATCTATCTATCTATCTATCTATCTCAATCTCTGGAGATCTATCTATCTATCTATCTATCTATCTATCTATCTATCTATCTATCTATCTATCTATCTATCTCTCTCTCTCTCTCTCTCTCTCTCTCTCTCTCTCTATCTATCTATCTTCTTTATCTACCTATGCATACATAGACACACTTATAAACTGATATATGCACACATACACATACACACACAAACACACTCACACTCACACGCATACACCCCCTCCCATATATATATATATATATATATATATATATATATATATGTACTGGGTGTAACAGGAAAATTGTCCAATTGTTGATTAATCTTTGAACCGTTGTATCTTAGAAGTTCTTCGAGGTTTTTATGACACTAATGGACTCTATTTTTGAGCAATAAGAATGTATAATTATTCTCCAAGCTTAACAGAAGATTCATGATGAAATCGATCATAAACGAAAATGATATGTTCATCATTAATTAATCATAGCTAAGGATCGGAAGCTCATGAAAGATTGAAGTAAAGTTCAAGTACATACATATTAGGATTATTTTCAAACTTATTCAAGATGATCTTCCAAATTTCTGTCCTGGAGTAATAATTGCCTTACATGTTTCACGTACGATTTCATTTTCAAGTCTTTTTTCACTGCTCTTTGGACTGTCATAGCAGAAACCCCTCTCTCACGTGTCAAACGTCTTATGGATTGTGTTGGATCTTTTCTAATTGATGTCTTAACTCTAAGTTGAAATCATGATCCCTCTTCTCGTTGTGACCTCTTGTTCCAGTTTTCCTTACTATTGCTCCGTCATTTTTAAACTTTTTCACCGATCTCTTGAAGATCTTTAAATCGTCTTTTATAGATGGAAGCTTTGTAGATGAATGTTGGGAACATTACAGGAGACCTGAATCATTTTTCCTCTCACAAGTGCTCGGTTGAGAAGACAGTGGAACTAACACAAACTGATTTAAACATGTTCTCTTTTTAGCCGAAGAACTCAAAGGTTTTTTCCGTGATACTTACGAGAAATGGTGTCAAGATGGCGAAACGTCTTATCTGAAAAACTGGAAAAAAGAAACACAATTATTTTAGTGTTTTTATTAGCTATTAAATATTTCGTGGAATGGACAATGCTTCTGTTACACCAGGTATGTATATATATATATATATATATATAATAAAAAGGCTTAAACACTAATATTCCATGGTTATAATTTATTACATTGGAATCGTAAATACGATCCAATTCATCAGACCTACAAATTCAAAAAGAAATCAGAAAAAATAACTCCGGGAATAAAAAATAAAATTTAGTGTGAGTGTATGTATGAATGAGAGTCGGGGATGAATGTGAGAGGTAAATGAAAGCTTTAGAGAGGGGTAACAAACGAGAGAAGAACAGGAAGGCCTAAAAGTGAAGGTAGGGATTCAAATTTAATCGCACATTCGTCCCCACTCTCATTCATTACATCTATCTATCTATCTATCTATCTATCTATCTATCTATCTACCTATATATATATATATATATATATATATATATATATATATATATATATATATATATATATATATATCTCAGCAATCTATAGGGTTGAGCCATAAACAACCTATGCATTAACATAGAGGAGGTATAGGCTTCCTACTCCCCTCGTTTCTTTCAACGACCCAGCAGTGATTTATATATACAAATGGAGTCTGAAGGACGCTTGAGGCATGACAGTCACAACTCAATGTTTATTCATACGTTCACAATCTATCTATCTATCTATCTATCTAAGTGATCATTTTATATCTAAGTCTTTTCAAATCTATTTGTCTATTTTTTTTAAAAATCTCTTTCTCTCTCTCTCTCTATCTATCTATCTATTAGGATCTCTTTATATCTAAGTCCTTTCAAATCTATCTATCTATCTATCTATCTATCTATCTATCTATCTATCTATCTATCTATCTATGTACAATGCTTTTATGCTTTAAATCAAATTGAATCAAATTTCAAATAATATATAAATCGGCTGTTCGATCTACTTACAAGAATTTAAATAAATTAGTTAATATCAGAGTTTTGAGAAAGGATGGCTTCTTTTCCGCACCTGCCCGTATATACAAACAAACACACACACACTATATATATATATATATATATATATATATATATATATATATATATATACAGATTGTGAGTATTCTGAACAGACTAATCTTGTTAGTTAGATATAGATATGAACAGAGATGTAAAAAACAGATTTAAAAAGATAAAGATATGAAATAGATATGAACACACTTTTGACATTTTATGAAGAGATTAATAGAAAGAAAAAAAATCGCTAAAATATTATTATAGAAACACGTGACCAAATTGCGGCATGTAATTTTGGTTTTCTGTGTCGCACCAGAACGTTTTTCTCGTTTGATTCCATCTTTCAAATCTACAAATCTGCCATTCGTCCATGCATTGAATACTGTTGCCATATCTGGTCTGGTTCGCCGCTGTTTACCTGTTTAAATTTTTTAGTATTTTGGTTTTTATTTAAAAAAAAAAAAAAACAGTACTCAATACATAAGTAGAGCTTAAATTATAATTATTCTTAAAAAAATATGATTCCTTCGCTACATAAGAGTTCTCATGTTTCAAAAACAAGAGCCAAAAACTTCAATATAATTATTTAAATTAAAATTATTTAATACAGATAATTTAATTCAATTTAATTTAAATAATTATATTGAAGTCTTTGAAACATGAGAACTCTTATGTAGCGAAGGAACCATATTAAAAAAATATATATATATATATATATATATATAGAGAGAGAGAGAGAGTGAGAGAAAGAGAGAGAGAGAGAGAGAGAGAGAGAGAGAGAGAAGGGGTTTTCCAATAACGTGGGCCGATTTTAAAATTTAATACAATTCAAAATCGGTCCAAGCCATTGGAACACCCTTTATATATATATATATATATATATATATATATATATATGTGTGTGTGTGTGTGTGTGTGTGTGTGCACCAAGGCATTGATGGAGAAATAGAAGAATGAAATAGAAACTGAAGAAGAATGCCAAGAATTATCCAGATGCGAAGAGAAACAAAGAACTGAAAATAGGCGAAAAAATTAATTTACTTGGGCAAACATCGAAGCCAAAAAAAAAAATGGAGGAAAGAATAAAAAAATAAAAATAAATAAAATAAAATAAATAAAAGAGAGTAACGAAAGGAAGAAGGAAGATGAAGGAAATGATTAGAACATATTGAAAGAAGAAAAATCAACAATAATTCGTAAATAAATTCATCAGCGAAATAACAATAAATAAATAAAAAACGAAGCCAATCAATAAACAAATAAAAATCAAATAAATAAATAGAAACATTTCGTAAAAACACAAATAAATAAATTACAACTGAAAAAAACTGTATGAAACAAACAAAGAATACGACAGTCGCAATTTAAAACCAGTTGCAAGATCAACGAAAAAAAGCGAAGATAATAAAATTACAAATACTTGAAACACGCGTAATGTCGCCTGACCAAGGTTATTTGCAATTTTTGCTTGTAATAACGACAATGAAAATAACATTATATAAAAAATGCAAAAGAAATAAGCAGGAGATACGACAGTTAACGACATAGCCAGCAGGTTGGTCGTTTAAATTTCGATGTTGAAATTCCGGAAATAAAAGAATCGACGTTTCAAAGATACGAAGCTGATATCAGGTGGTAGGACATGTTTCTTTTTTCTACTTTGGTTCTTTGTTATTAATGATATTTACAAGATTGTTTGCGAGGTGAGATTTTATCGGCTATTCGATCGACTGAAGAACCCAAGCAAAAAATGTAATAAAGGGGTTATTTTTGAATAGATGGAGGCAATGTTTCATTTTTTTAAATAGATATTGAGCGTTAGCTTGTAAATAATTCTGAGCCGAGACCAAACTGAGAACTTTTTAACCCAGATCGTCACACACACACACACACACACACACACATATATATATATATATATATATATATATATATATATATATATATGGCTTAGTGGTAGAATGCCCGATTTCTATCCTAGCTAGAGTCAACCGGACGTCTTTTTCAGTTGAGCTCTCTGGGGAGGAAGTGTGGGTTTGTTTAGAGTAACTATTACGGCTAACAATGCAAGACTCTTCGGTAAATCGAGTCTAAAAATGAATACGCTTAAATTCACCCTCATCCCTGTCGTGCTAGAATCCTCAACTGACTCCAATTCAGTCGGGTTTCGATCCTAGCTAGAGTCAACCGGACGTCTAGCAACACTGATGAGCTGTGATACAGCGAAACTGTCTGTCTGTAGATGACAATATATACATATATATGTATATACAAATATAAGTGAAAATTGACGTCTAGCATGAAACAGCCTGTCGCCTCTGAATTTTGACTTCAATATTCACTTTTATATTTATATTTACATACGCTCTATCTCTGATATTGAGCACTTGATCCCATAAATATAGCACGCTTTAAAACTATATTTCTTCATACACACACATATATATATATATATATATATATATATATATATATATATATATCAAAAGACATTTTTATGTTTAACTTAAATAAATAAATTGTCGGACTTTGTCCATTTCTTTATATATATATATATATATATATATATATATATATTAAAACTAAATTTCTTCATATATATATATATATATATATATATACATATATACATATATATATATATATATATATATATATATATATATATGATATATTTGTAAATATATAGAATGAAGCACCGTATAGCCCATAGGGGTTTGGCTCTCATGACTACTGGTGGCACTGTAAATCGCGTTTTCAATTTTTCTGGAACTGACACACTTCTAGATTCTTCACGATGGCATCAGCTCTCATCGCGCTGTCTATGATGAAGGCTCAACTCCGGTCCTAACAGTAATTCTGATCAGTTCGATGAGGTCAAATTGTCAGCTGATCTAAAAAAACGCCATACATCCTGCTGTTGACTGGAGCAAGGAATAGTTCGTTAATTTTAACGCTTCCAAAACGAAACTGCTCTATTAATCGTCCGCGAGAACCGTTTGCGCGTCTCATCAGCATAGCTGATGCTAGCCACCAGGAGAGTGACTTGTTGCGTCTTCTCGTCTTTTCTGCTGAAATGAAGTGGAAAGATTGCTAAGTTTGCTGAAGTTGCTTGTTTGTGTCGTGTTCAGCAATTTTTCTCGCACGAATCTATCTTACATATTTACAAGTCAGCCATTCATCCAAACTTAGTATGTTGCTGTGACGTATGGTCCGGTGCTTATAGCAAAGAAAACGGCCACTTACCTCGTCAAACCAGGCGACAGCGCGTCGCGTGTATCCTACGACGGTAAATGTGGCGAAAAAGAAAATTACTTAACAAAAAAAAAAAAAAAATGTGCACGTATTCCGCATGACATGCTGAAGACAGAATATGCAAATTACAAACAAGTCCGTCGCAGGATTCTCTATAAAAGTATTTTGATATGCAAAAATTGGGCGTCCTCTCCCAGTTGTCGATGAATGGAAAAAATGCTCGGCCGATAAAAGCAGTTGGTGTTCTCGAATCGGGGGGAAATTCGGCTATTTTGGCTACCGCGTTTGTCGGGGAGTGAGTTATTTTTTCTGACTGGTCGCGTGCATTGGGATTTGTAAGATAGTACCTGCGAATCGAGTTTTCGGCCTTTCTTTTTGCCGCCGATGTTCGAATCTGAATTTATTCTCTGCATTGTGGAAGTAACCTGCCACAGATATTTCCTTTGCTTTCAGAATGCCTACAGTGATCCTGCTTCATATTTAGAAATTCTTGTTAAAATCCAAAGAAGAATCTGCAATATCATTGGTTCTGACCTGGCATCTCGACTTCAGCCACTTTACCACCGCCGTAATATAGCCTCCCTCTGCATTTTCTATAAATAATTTAATCATAATTCTTTGGATGAATGTTCCTTATCGGACGTAGTCTATGTATTTCAATAGATTACTAGACAGGCAAAAAGGTCTAATCAATTTACAGTTGAAATGGCTAGATGTAATCTTATATTCTATTCTAACAGTTTCTTTTCTCGCACTTCTCGCTTGTGGAACTCTCTTCCGACTTATTGCTTTTCAGGTTAGACTGATGTTCGAAAATTTAAATGCAATGTTAATCATTATTTTCTGTCTTCTGAATTCCTCTTCATGTATTGTTCTTGTTTCTTGATAATATTTCTCTTATCCTTTTTTTTTTCACACTCAGTAATCCTATGATTTTTCATTAAAAAAAAAAAAACAGTTCCCAGACGTGCGCCCTGGAGGGTATAACTCTTTGGATGCAGATCCACACTTTCAGGAAACAGACGGATGTCATAATATACATGACAGTGAATACTTATGCAATCTCCTCACAGATAAAGACAAGACCTGCGGCAACAGAAACGCGGTTCTGCAGAAGGAGGCTACGAGTAGCACGGATAGAGCGCGTAAGCAAGAGAAATATAAACAAAACGGATACTTATATAATGAGGAAGGGTGGTATCTCGAGGGCAAAATGGACAGCGGATGGCAGCGGACCAGCTTCCTGCTGAGCTTTTGTGAAAAATGACCGAACAAGTAGCGGGAAGAGATGGGGACAGACAATCATAACGAAGATATCTGTCTATATCTCTGAGATGAGGTATTATGATTACTTGCATTATTTACATTATTCGGACTGTTATCCTCATCTTCATTGCCATATTCACAACGTTTCGTCCTTTATATCTTTGAGATGAGAGATATCAGTCACTTGAAGAAGGCCGGAGCGTATAACGACCGAAACGTTGTCAATAGGCAATGAAAATTAGGATAACAGTCGAAATAATGTAAATAATGCAAGTAATCATAATACCTCGACTCGAGATATACCAATCATCTGAAGAAGACCGGAGCGTACAACGGCCGAAACGTTGTGAATATGGCAATGAAGATGAAAATTACAGTCCGAATAATGTAAATAATGTAAGTAAGCATTACTAATACTTAAAAACGAAAGGGTGTTATGGAGGGCTATGATCGTCCGCGTCCTGAAGGGCCACTATACATAGAAAAAGAAGAATGCCTTCTATGGAGCAATAGTTAGTAAGTTCTTCTTGCGGGATATAACTTCTCTAGTGAGTTCGATCCTGAACGAGTCCTCTATACCTGTGACCTTGGGCCGCACTAAGCTGGTGCTCTTTTGCTCACGTTAGTAATATCTGCAGAAAAAAAAACTGCTTAAAACCTTTACGGTATAAAACGCATTTTATGAGCGGAAATATGTATATTTATGAATATATTTCTGGATATTTTATTGCAGTAGTTTGTGTGTGTGTGTCTATGCGTGTGCTGTGTGTGCTGGCGTGCGAATTAGTTGTAGATAAATAAAAATTGACTTATGGTTTGTTTATCGTCTGACATCTGTTGTGGATCTTACGTATAAGCCCCAAAAGAAGTATTTGTAGGATGACGTAAAAACACTTGCACAGCCCGAAATCGTAATCTTTAAACGAGAAGAGAAGTAAAAGCACGTGTTCGGAAGGGAGGGGGGAAGAGAAAGAGAAAAGAGGAAGAAAACAAAAGAATGGAAGGGAGGAAGGAAGGGATGAAAGGAAAGAAATGAAAGAAAGAAGGAGGAAAAGTTCCCAAGGAAGAAGAAAGGGAAGGATGGTAAGAAAGGAAGAAGAGAGAAAATCGAAAAACACTAAAAAGAAAGAAGGAAAGAGTAGAAGAAAGACAGAGAAGGAAGGTAGAGTGGGAAAGGAAGGGAGAAAGGAAAGAAAGAAGCTGTGTGGAAAAGGGGAAAACATATGATGAACTTAAAAACATGGTATTAAAATTGATTTAGAACTGTAAGCAGCAATTCTTTTAACCGCACCCAGTTCAAAACTGTTTTTATTCCTGTAAATAGGAAAAAAATGAACTAAAACTGAAGCCAGAAACAATTACAACAATAAGAGAAACTAATGCAAAAAAAAACAAAAAAAAAACAAACTCCAAAACAATAAAAAAGTAAGAAGATGAATTTAAAAGAATAATAATAATAATAATGATAATTAATAAATAAGTAAATGTCCTCATGCGACAACAGCCATAACTCTCATGGCTTCTTATTTTAATTGATTGGTTAAACTCTACACGTTTAATCTTGGTGACTTATGATATGCTAAAGTAAATATTCTGTTTGGTACCACAGATTTTCATGACAATGGCCTGACCATAACCTGTTTATTCTCGAACAGCGCAGTTGCGCCTGATAGGTGTGACGGAAGAGGATAGCAAGTGAGACGGGAGAGTATAGCAGGTGAGTCGGAAGAGGATAGCAGGTGAGGCGGAAGAGGATAGCCGGTGAGGCGGAAGAGGATAGCAGATGAGGTGGGGGGAGGATAGCAGGTGAGGCGAAAGAGGATAGCAGATGAGGCGGAAGAGGATATCCGGTGAGGCGGAAGAGGATAGCCGGTGAGGCGGAAGAGGATAGCCGGTGAGGCGGAAGAGGATAGCAAGTGAAGCGGAATGACTGAAAGACAATCAAAGATTTAGAAACAGTCTTACAAAATGCATATGCCAAAAATAAATTCTATTTCAAAATTTCAAATATTATTATGGATTACTTGTAATTCTAAACATGTGTCCCAGTATAAATAGTTATCAATAATTATTGACCGATTTTATCATGGTTATATTTTTGCATTATATCAAGTATTAAGAATATAGTAACTAGGGTCCAGAAATTGAAGGAGGGAGTTATCAATAATAATGTTCTGACTTCGAATCAGCGGTTATCTCCCTTTAGACCTCTCTCTGTTTTTATTTTATTTTTAAATATATTTTTATCCCATAAAATTGGTGTTTGAAATGCTAATTTGAGGTGAGGGAGTTGGGCTGAAAACAAGGATGTGTCGTCTTACCGGACTTATTCAACCTTTACATTGAAGCAATCCTGAGAGAATTAAATCTCACCAGGATCCATTATTATGACCACAGACTCCAAAAAAACATTAGATATACAGATGAGACAGTGTTAATAGCAGACAAAGAATGGTATCTACAGGAACTCTTACAGAAGGCAGTAATGGAGAATTAGAAGAAAGGACTAAACATCAATTGTAAGAAGGCAGAATGTATGGTTGTCAACAAAAGAAACAGCCCAATACGCAAATTACAAATCGGAAATATCAAAATGAAACAAGTGCAAAAATTTAAATATCTAGAAAGTGTTTTATAAAAAAGATTTCTAAATTTCTAATGAGCAAGGTTTTTTGTATCATTTAATAAGCATAGCTGAGTTTGGCACAAGATCACAAGTATGGCGCACTTCTGAGTTCAATCCTTTTCATCTGTACAACTTCTTCCAAAATAAAATAGATAGATAGATAGATAGATTATTTAAGTAATTAGTATAGATACTCCCAATAATTCGCTATACCTAAATTTTAAATGAATTTTCATGAATAAAAAAATCTTTCTTTAAGCTTTCATTTTAGCTTTAATTGAAAGCTAAAGGATTAAATTTTCTAATTCCAGAAAGCAAAATGCTGTGGTGTATTTCAAATAGAAATTAGAATAATTTTGAGACAATTCATTTTTTTCAGAAAAACCCGTTCAAACGGCCATATTTGTAAACAAAATTTAATTCTCAGCTTTAAAAAGTTTGCAAAAATAAAATAGGTATTTTCTGAAATGTTTTTTTTGCGAATTTAATGTTAAATCAATCTGTTCTGAAATAAATATTACGTATAGCATAAAAATGTTGTATACAAGCTTTTCTTAACCACGGGGTCTTGTTGTTCTAAGGTGTTGACAGGTTAAGTATGGTGGACCAGAATTGACTTAAATTTACGAATTCTAAGTAAAAATTGTTTGTTTTTGTTTTTTAAATATCAGGTAATTTTTAAAAATTAACAAAATATTTTAAGCAATTATTTAATATTATACTGATGTTTTTAGTTATAAAACTTAATATCACGTTTGAAGATGCTTTCTGAAAATATAAAATTGAAAATACTATAAAAATACGGCCCAGAGAAAAAAAAAAGTGGGAACTAATGCAATTAGTTGGGCATGAGCCTAGGAGCTGACGTTCATTTAATTTCCGGTAATAAACAAAAGTGGTAATTATAGCCGAGTGTTGAGAAGTCTGTTTTATTTTTTTAAGTTTGAAGTATGAGACAGCCAGGGCAACTTTGGTGTCACATCTAAATAATTTGAAACATCCTCAGTCAGAAATTGTCTGAGCGAACTAGGTTACCCAACCTGAAAATATTTCTAAGTTGGCCCGTAGTGTGATGTAAGGCTCTGGGCCCTTAATGTGATGTAAGGCGCTGGGCCCTTAGTATGATTTAAGGCGCTGAGCCCTTACTGTGATGTAAGGCGCTGGGCCCGTAGTGTGATGTAAGGCGCTGGGCCCGTAGTGTGATGTAAGGCGCTGGGCCCTTAGTATGATTTAAGGCGCTGGGCCCTTAGTGTGATGTAAGGCGCTGGGCCCTTAATGCGATGTAAGGCGCTGGGCCCGTAGTGTGATGTAAAACGCTGGGCCCTTAGTGTGACGTAAGGCTCTGGAACCTTAGTATAATTTATGGCGCTGGGCCCTTAATGTGATGTAAGGCGCTTGGCCCTTAGTGCGATGTAAGGCGCTGGGCCCTTAGTATGATTTAAGGCGCTGGGCCCTTAGTGTGAGGTAAAACTATGGGCCCTTAGTGTGATGTAAAACGCTGGGCCCTTAGTGTGATGTAAGGCTCTGGAACCTTAGTATAATTTATGGCGCTGGACCCTTAGTGTGATGTAAGACTCTGGGCCCTTAGTGCGATGTAAGGCGCTGCCACAAAGTTGAAATTCACTGGACTAGGCATTCTTCGTTATAGAACAGTGAACTATCTGAAAACAGAAACCCTTCAGAAATTTGAACAGATACTACGCTCTAATCCTTTATTTCCTCGCCTCCCTACAGTGAGAAAAGGCAGGTTTAATATGGGATGCTGTCAAAAGCAAACATTAGGGCAGGATGTTACACAACGCCCAGAATTGCCCACGTCCCCGTATCAGCTGTTACACTGACGTTTTTATCCACCAACCCTTCCTTCAAACGAGGGAGGTGTTCCCGTGGAGTTTGAATCTCCATAAACATCCCTGGCAGCTTTTACAATTTGGAAACACCAAAATCAAGCAAGTACAAAAATTTAAATATCTAGGAAGTGTTTTAGCAGAGGAGGGGAAACTGGGACTCCGAAATCCGAAGTTGCATTGTGGTAGAGAAATGTGCCTTCCAAAAGCTAAGCAAAGTATAAAGAAATAGGAAAATTTCGTTAGAAACAGATAAAATAGTACTGAGTATAATTTAGGCATATCATGTCGATTAGTTTTCGTTGTGAGCCTTTCAAGTTCACAGATTATGTTTTTGGTTGATTTAGAAAATTGATTAAGAAAAATACCAAAATATTCTTTCAAATAGTTTTTGTTTTCTCAATTACTTTCAGTCTTGTCTGAAAACATCTTGAGTCAGTTGAAATGTTTTAAATTCACAAACACACACACACGCACACACACACACACACACACACACACACATATATATATATATATATTAACAGACAATTTAACCCCCGATTTGTACTGGGTGTAACTGTTCAAATCGTGTAACAACATGTGATAATTGCTCACCCCACAAAATTTTTAATATCTAAACAAACCCCACTAAACTTAATGAGTTTCTTTTCTCTTGGTTTTCAGATAATACACCGTTTGACATAAGAATTACTGAAAAACCATTTTAGTTATTCAGTTAGAAACAGAACAAGTTAAAATCGTTTTGTGTCAGCCCCACTGTCTTCTCAGCTGAGAAAAAAAAATGAAGAAAAACGAAAAAAATCAAACAAAAAAACAAAACATTCAAACCTTCTGTAATAGTAGCAACATTATTAATCTGGCTTCCATCATTAAATTCATTCAAGAACCATCAAGAGAACGGTGAATAAGTGTAAAAAAAAGAACAGTAGAGAGGAAAACTAGACTAGGAGGTCAAAGCTGATGGAGGGATCATCATTTCAACTTCGAGCCAAAGAGATCAATTAAAAAAGATTCAACTCAATCCATATGACGTTTGGCACATGAGAGAGGAGTTTCAGCTTTGATAGTCCAAAGAGCTGTGAAAAAAGGCTTGAAAATGAAATGATGTGTAAAACCTGTGAGCAAACTTGTTATTCTAGGACTGAAAGTTAGAAGGTTAGAGAGAGCGAAGATCACCCTGAAAGTGTTGGAAAATGTTCCTCGAAATATATATATATATATATATATATATATATATATATGGACATTATTTCAATCATTATTTCATGAGCTTTCGATCCTTAGCTATGATTAATTAATAATGAACATGTCATTTTCGTTTATGATCGATTTCATCACAATTCTTCTGTTAAGCTTGGAGAGTAATTATACATTCTTATTCCGGAAAATAGAATCCAATAGAGTTATAAAAAGAATTCCATTACGAATATTTAAAAGAATTCCAATAAGATATATTTAATCATTTCTAAGATACAACGGTTCAAAGCTTCAGGCTAATGTTTGCTAGGAGCTGAAAGTAATATAGATTAAATTTAATAAAAATGCGATAAAGAATGTGAGTCTAGATTTAAAGGCGATGTTGTACATTGTTGAAACGGTAGAATGATCTGATACAAAATGATGGTCAGAAAAGAGAAAGTAGTTACCATATGTAAAGATAGGACAAACATTCAAAGCATGTTATAAGAAATTCTTGCAAATATGTCGGCATTTGTTTGCCGAAAAGTTCTGTACGAATCAGAAGTATTTCTAGGTAACAGATTGAAATTTACACCAATTAAATAAAACAAAAAACAAACCAAAAAATCATAAATCCTGACATGACTGAAACAACTAACGCCTAATTTAAAGTAAATCTTCATTGGGGAACGGAGGACGTTATTGTTGCTTTGAGACGAGGTAATGGAAATAATCGTGGCCGGACCGAAGGACATTTGGCCGAACAGACACTTGGCCAAGAGACATTTGGCCGAAAGACATTTGGACGAACGGACATTTTGCCGAGAGACATTTTGCTGAGAGACATTTTGCTGAGAGACATTTGTCCGAAAGACATTTGGGCGACGGAGGACATTTGGGCGACGGAGGACATTTGGGCGACGGAGGACATTTGGGCGACGGAGGACATTTGGCCGAAAGACATTTGGGCGACGGAGGACATTTGCGTGACGGAGGACATTTGGCCGAAAGACATTTGGGCGACGGACATTTGGCTGATGGACATTTGGCTGGCGGACATTTGGCTGGCGGACATTTTGCTGAGAGACATTTGTCCGAAAGACATTTGGGCGACGGAGGACATTTGGGCAACGGAGGACATTTGGCCGAAAGACATTTGGGCGACGGACATTTGGCTGGCGGACATTTTGCCGAGAAACATTTTGCTGAGAGACATTTGTCCGAAAGACATTTGGGCGACGGAGGACATTTGCGCGACGGAGGACATTTGGCCGA